CACACACATGCACACACAGCACACACACGCACACACAGCACACACACACGCACACACAGCACACATACACAGCACACACACACAGCACACACACGCACGCACACACACGCACACACAGCACACACGCACACGCACACACAGCACACACACACACAGCACACACACAGCATACACGCACACGCACACACAGCACGCACACGCACACACACAGCATACACGCACACACACAGCACACACAGCACACACACGCACGCGCACACACGCACACACACACAGCACACACACACGCACACAGCAGACACACACACACACAGCACACACACACGCACACACAGCACACACACACGCACGCACACACACGCACACACAGCACAAGGCAGCCTTGTGTGACATCGTATGCAGCAAAGGGTTGCATTGGCTGCTCCCCAGATCCATTCGCTTCCTTTTCCTGCTTCCTTCAGGTTTTTCATTTGCATCTTTGTAGTCTCGGTGGATGTACTTGTGGTTCTGCTTTCTTCCCTGCGCATCATTAGCTGCTTCTTATTGGAACTTACTCAAACGGGGGGGTGCTGATGAGGCAGAGGCTTCCATGAAGTCCCACTGGCCTTCCGCTTAAAGCCCAGCTCCTTGGGAGAGAGCCTGGGTCCCCTGTTTCTGCCTTCCCCCTGAACCAAGCAAGTCCCCTTTGTTTGCCCACTTGTGGGTGCCCAGCTCCTTCCCCAGAGCCTAGCTGCTTCCTCAAAGATCTGGGGACGCCCTGGGTCACGGTAGGCTGAGGGACCATAGAATGGACCTTTCTCCAAGGGTCCTCCAATGGGGATGCCATGGTAAGTCCTTCTCTCTCCCCAAACTCACCCAAGTCTTTCCAATAACTAATAGCCATAGTATTAGATGAGATTTAGCGTCGGGATTGTCCTTAGCAAACATCTCATCCAAGCCACTCATAGGGATAATGAAGCCCAATGTGACACAGATACCCAGGGCCAAGGCCAGCATTTGGACTTGGGCCTCCAGTGGCCAGCCACTGAGCAGAGCGCTTTACAAACGAGCCAATCTGCGAATTTGATTATGGCTCCAAATCCAGTATACACACTGCCTCACTCTAAGCACTTACTCTAAATTAGACAATTCTTTGTCTGGATAGAGACAAAATGGAGAAAAAATGGCTGTTCTGAAGGAGTTCATATACTACGGAAGGGGGGAGACACAACATCAATGCAGGACAATTTAAGAAGGGAGAAAATACTCACACCTAAAGGAATCAGGAAAGGCTTTCCATAGCAAGGAGCATCCCAGCTGAAGCTTGAATAGCAGTAGTAGTAGTAGCAGTACTAGTAGTAACAGCAGCTAACAGTTCTATAGTGCCAGGCACTGTGCTAAGTGTTTTACAATTATTCTCTAATTTGATCCTCACAACAACCCTGGGAGGCAGGTGCTGTTATTATTCTTATTTTACAGGTGAGGAAACTGAGACAAAGAGGGTGAAGTGATTTGTCTAGGGTCACACAGATAGTATCTGTCTGAAAACAGATTTGAACTCTGGTCTTCCTATCTTAAGGCCCAGCGTTCTGTCCACTTCAACACCCTAGGTGTCCAGGGGTCCAACAGGTGGAAATGTATTCCAGGCGCAAGGGAGAGGCTGTGAAAACACATGGAGGTGGGAGCTAGAACTCTGAATTCAAGGAATAGTTGGTCAGTCAGTCAACAAACATTTGTTGAGCACCTACTATGTGCCAGACACTGTGCTAAGCACTGGGGATACAAAGAGAGGTAAAAAAAAAAAAACCCAGTCCCTAGGGCAGCTAGGTAGCGCAGTGGATAGAGCTCCAGCCTTGGAGTCAGGAGGACATGAGTTCAAATCCGGCCTCAGACACTTGACACTTCCTAGCTGTGTGACCCTGAGCAAGTCACTTAACCCCATTGCCTAGCCAAAAAACAAACAAAAAAACCAGTCCCTGCCCTCAAGGAGCTCAGAATTTAATGGGGAGATGACATGCAAACAACTATATAGAAACAAGCTAAATACAGGATAAGTAGGAAATAATTAAGAGAGGGAAGGCCCTGGAATTAAGAAGCACTGGAAGAAAGGCTTCCTTATAGAAAATGAGATCTTAGCTGGGACTTACAGGAAGCCAGGGAAGTCAAGAGAGAGTAGGGACAGTATTTCAGGCCTGGGGGACAGCCAGAGAGAATGCCCAGAGCCAAGAGATGGAGGGGCTTGTTTATGGAACAGCCAGTCCTTGGTGGGGAGTAGGGCGCAAGAGGACTGGAAAGAGAGGAGGGGGCAGGTTATGAAGGGCTTTGAATGTCCAATAGCGAGCATTTTGTATTTGCCACTGGAGTTTATTGAGTAGGGGGGGTGATGTTGTCAGACCTGCACTTTAGGAAGGTCATTTTGGTGGCTGATGGATTGGGTTAGGGTTAGGGTTAGGGTTAGGGGAGAGACTCCAGGCAGGTATTCCAGGTATGAGATGAAGAGGGCCTACACCAGGGTGGGAGCAGTGTCAGAGGAGACAAGAGGGGAATGTTTGAGAGATACTGCAAAGGTGAGATCGACGGGCCTTGGCCACGGCTTGGATATGGGGGGTGAGAGAGGAGTCCAGGCTGACTCCTCGGGTGAGGGCCTCAGGGACCAGGAAGACAGTGTTGCCCTAGTGATAGGGGAGGTTTAGAGGGGATGACAACAAGTTCAGATGAGTTGGCTCAAATGCAGAGTGCCTGCAAGAGAATGAGGTTCGAGCAGCCTGGACAGATAGGCCAGAACAGACACTGAGGAGTCTGGTTTTTTTTTTGTTTTTTTTTTTTTTAGTAAAACACTTTATTTTAAAAAGTTTTCTGAAATCCTTCAATCCTCCTGGTGTTACGTTTACAATCTTCCTCCCCTTGGAACCTTCCTTTATCAGCATAAAAAGAGTTCAGCTTTGACAACATTCAGAACCCATGGGCCCCCTTGCTTCCTACAGATAAAGAGATCTATCTGCTAGTCTTTGTCTGCACAAACATGCCCATTGCACTCACGGGAGCTGGTATTGTGTCCAATCTCCTTATTAGACAAAGGGAAAACTGAGGCTGGGAGAGAGGAAGCAATTTCAGATCAGAACTTGACAGAAATAGAAGGGTTATATATGGAAATGGTTTTTTTTGGGGGGGGGTCTGTCGGAGGAGGGTGTTTATTAAGCTCAGAATTTAATAATAGAGCAATTTAAAAAGAAGTAGTAGGGACATTAGAGAAAATTGGGTCCAGCTCCTTCATTTAACAGTTGAGTGAACTGATGGGATTTGCCCAAGGTCACACAGTTAGCTAGTGTTGTCCCACTGTCAAGGGGCAGGCATCCCGGCCTGTTTTAACTCCCGGTGACCCAAGTTCAGACCTGTTGGAGACAGCTTTGATAACCCTTTCCTTCAAATGTACTTTTATCTCCTACGATTTGGAACATGATCTGCTTATACACCACTCATTGTGTACTTTCTGACAGGCCCAGAAGGTTCTCTCCAGGTTTCAAGGAGGTGGGTCCAAGTGCTATTGTCTGGGTTTTGGTGTTCCCACTGCCTATGCCCTTTATATTTTTTTCAGGACTTGGTTTGTGAAGGGCTGTCCTGGAGCCCCAGTGCACAGAGCTAGGAGCAAGCAAGGAGGCAGCTTGTGGTTAAATTTAAGAACACATTTTTAAACCTGTTACATTAAAAATAGCAGGAGTAACTCCATTTTGCCTTTATCTGCCATTCTGTGAAGTTAAGTTCCAACTTCTTTTAAGTCATCTAATCACAGGAAAGTCAGAAGACTAACACCACCCCCCTCTTGCCTCAGTGCTTCCCAATCTTCTCCACCAATCAGGAACAAGGTGGCTCAATCCCTACATCCTGTTCTTTACTCCTTTAACTCAAGATTAACTGTGTAGAAACCAAAGTTCTAGGTCCTCACACAGACTGAGAGCCTTGGACCAGATTTGCTTCTGCAGCTGCATGCACTGCTAAATATGCTTGCTCTACTGTGTCCATTAAATGCTACACCTGTGTGTAACTGTTCCTTTCCCTAGACCCAGTAAGACACTGCACTAACACAGGTAGAGATGGAAAGGAGAGAGGCATAAGCAGGTGCCACCATTCGTGTAGGGGCAGCTGCTAGAATCGTAAACCAGGCATTGAGGAGGAAGTCAATGGCCTCTCATTGGGCTAATCAAACCAAACTATAAAGATGACAGCACATGTCAAATAAGAGTCATCCAAAATGACTAACATAGGGGCAGCTAGGTGGTTCAGTGGATAGAGCACCAGCCCTAGAGGCAGGAGGACCTGAGTTCAAATCCAGCCTCCGACACTTACTAGCTGTGTGACCCTGGGCAAGTCACTCAACCCCAACTGCCTTGCCAAGAAAAAAAAATGACTAACATATAAAATAAGGAGGCATTGGTCCTGAGAAGAGGCATAAAATCCC